GTGGTTCAGCCGTAGAGCACTCGCCTAGCACACGTGAGGCCCTGGGTTCAATCCTTAGCACCACATAAAAATAAATAAGTAAAGGTATTGTGTCAACTGAAAAATTAAATAAACATACATAAAAAAAGAAGAAACTAAGTGCTATAGTTTGGATCCTGAATGTCTCCCCCAACACCCATTTGTTAAAGACTTGGTCTCCAGTGCTAGTGGAAGACAGAGGAACTTTTAAGAGCTTGGATCTAGTGGGAGGTCTTCATATCATTGAGGACATCCCCCCAAAAGGGGATTGTGGGACCCCAGCCCTTTCCTCACTTTTTGTTCCTTGGCTGTTGATGAAAGCAGGTTTTCTTTAGGAACTCCTTCCATGATATAATGCCTCCTCACAGGCCCAAAACAACAGCATAATATGCCATGGACCAAAACCTCCCAAACTGTGACCCAATTAAACCTTTTTCTCTTTATAAGTTATCTCAGGTATTTTGTTATAGTAATGGAAAGCTGACTAACATAGTAAAATTATTTAAATTGTAAATATTGTATTGGAAGAAGAAGTTAGGAGACCTAGAATAAATCTTCCCATCATGAAAATAATGCCCCAAGTTGTTAGTACTTCTTTTTGCTTATTGGCATCTACCAGGAATATAGACCCAGATATCATTATGGGAATTCCAGAGTCCAGGAGAAGTTCTACAACAGTCCAACTGAGCTTGGTAACACAGCTTTTAAAAACTTTTTTTCTTCTTTCTTCCTTCTCCTTTCTCCATTCTTTCCCTGGAATCTGCTTTCTATGAAGGTTTTTCTTATGAATAACTGTGGAAATGATTCCTTCCTCTTTCTTTCCCCTTCAATGTCTCAGCTTTAACCATACATAGCTTTCTTCCTGATCCCAGAACAGGCCAGGTTGCTCTTTCCTCAGGTCCTTTGATGGCCCCTCCTGCCTGGACTGCTGTTTCCAGATACCAGGCAGCCTTCCTCATTCCCTGAGGGCATGCTCAGAAGTCACCTTTTGAGGAGAACTTCCTGTCTCAAATTGTGTTGCCCATTCTCTCTCTCTCTCTCTCTCTATATATATATATATATATGAATCTGTCTATCTTTCTTTCAGTTATATTGTCTGTCTTTCTTCTCTTCTACCCACCAGAGTGTAGACTCTAGGCAGGCTGACATTTTCTAGCTCTTGTGTTGCTCAGAGCTAGAAGAGTTGCCAGGCACTCACTGAATGTATAAATGGATGTTAAGAAAGTGTAGAGCTAATGCTCATGACTTGTTCTCCCTTTGGCCTCCAACTTGGAACAGTCGCACCTCCAGAATAACCACAGACCCTTTCCCGATATGGAGAAACAGAGCTGTTCAAAAGCAGTAGCAGGCCCCAGCATATCCACCCTTGGCAGATTCTAGATCAGATGTAATCTGGATTTTGACTGTTCCCTGTGTGCCAGGCTTCCCTTGAATGAAAAGTATTTTGAAACTGTAAGTTCCAGGATAAATAGATCCATATTCATTTTTGCATACTTCATTATTCCAAGGCAGAAAAATCAAGTGCTTCACCGACAATTTGATCCTCCAAGTATTTACCAGCTTCCTACTTTGTGCCAAGCTCCTTGCACTAGACCTTGCTGGAAATGCAAAGGAAAAGAGCTAAGTCCCAGTTCTTAAGTGCCTTAGGATAGAGAAGTAGGTATCAGATAAGCAAAGGTAAGCAGCATAGAAGCCGACCACGGTAACTGTTGGTTCTGTGATAGAACTCATGCTTCTGCTTCAATCTCTGGCTCTGGTTCTTTAAGAGCCAACATTTTTATGTGAGAGCCTAGAGGTTTCTGCTGTCTTCCCTCCCAACCCCAGCTCCATCCACCACAGGAGGAGAAAGGGGGAAGTAAGAGGTCAAACAGTACAAAGGGTCACTGGAGCTCTTATGCTACCCAAGCCTCGGGGAAGACCAGCTTCCATCTTGCTCAGAACTGCTGCTGACTTGCAGGATTGAGGCCTTTGGGGAGGGAGATCAAGCAATTTGGTCCACCAAATAGCTACCAATTGCCCATTCCAGCTTGAATAGCTGAGAGAGAGAGAGAGAGAGAGAGAGAGAGAGAGAGAGAGAGAGAGAGAAACTGCCTTTATAGAACTGGCACAATCAGGCAGAAGGACCCCGGGAAGGAGCATCCCCAATCTAGGTAAAGGTGCTCTTGCCTGTGGTTTGTTGGTGCTCAGACTTGATATGCACATTGTAAATTCTTTCATAAACAGAGTGTTGGTCAGCTTTCCTTCACTATGACAAAAGCCTTAGGTAATCAATTTATAAAGATAAAAGACTTATTGTGTCAGGTGTCCCAACATCTCCTTCAAGGACGTGCCCCCAATGACCTAAGACCTCCCACTAGACCCCACCTCTTAAAGACATACTGGGGACCAACCCTTTAATGCAGGGGCCTTTTGGGAACATGTCAGATCCAGACTATAGCAGGCAGTTGAGAGAAAACAAAATTAAAAACCAAATTGCTCACATAGAAACGAACCCAACCATTTTGGGAGCTGATTTTTTAAAAGTCTGAATTTTTTTTCTTAACTATGTGCTTATAAATGAAGAAGAAGGAATGAGCATTGTTAGGTGTCTTTAGCCTGGGGACTAGGAGGCTGACCTTGGCAGCAGGTTCTCTGCATGAGGAAGACCCCATCAGAAGACCCGAGTGAGTTCCCAAAGCAGCTGGCAAGTTGGGGTTGAGCAATCTGGAAAGACTCTGGGGAAGTGGTGTCTAGTGCAGCCATCGGACACAGGCTGCAGGGAGCTGCTACCCCCCCATCTGTGCCCCTCCCTCCAGCCACACTCCGGGCACCCAGAACCTAGAGTTCCCGTCAGGTCACTCAGGGCTGTGTGGCCTCCTCACTTGTCCATCGCCTGAAGGGTGGAGTGTGCTGCTTGTGAGGCCCTGCTGGACCTGAGGGGTGACCAGAAGGCTGCATTGTGGACAGAGCCTGAGCGGGAGTTCAGGGGTATTTAAACATGTGCACAGGCCCTTGGCAGGCCCAGAAGTGGGAAGAGAAGGAGGTGGGTCCCAGGTTGAGGGCCAGGGGCTGAAGGACACAGGTCAGCTTTCTCTGTCTGTGTCGCTGCATTCAGGTCTAGAACTTCACAAAGTCTGAGATTTTAAAATTTGGATTTGTCCGTCAGGGTCATATGGAGAGCTATTCCTAAATGTCAGAGTATAGGATGTATTTAACAGTTTGCTTGATTTATTCTTCTTACATATATGGATCTCTGGGCATGTGGACCTCCATTCATCCTTTCCACTTAGCCATGTAATTGTCAGAGCTGGTTCCAAGAGTGTCTTTGGAGATGGGTTTTGATGCCTGGGATGGATTTATTTATTTTATTTCACTTTTTTTTCTTTTTGGTATCAGGGATTAACCCAGGGGTACTTAACCATTGAAACATATCCCCAGCCCTTTAAAAAAATATATTTATTTAGCTGTAGATGAACACACAGTATCTTTATTTATTTTTATGTGGTGCTGAGGATTGAACCCAGTACCTCACACCTGCGAGGTAAGTGCTTTAAATAGTAAAGCTACAGCCTCAGCCCCACCCAGCCCTTTTTATTTTTTGTTTTGAGACAGGGTCTTGCTGAGTTGCTTAGGGCCTCACTGAGTTGCTGAGGGTGGCTTTGAATTCTTGTACCTCCTGCTTCAGTCTCCCTAGTCGCTGGGATTACAGGTGTGTGCCACCGTGCCCGGCTCTGGGAAGGACTTAGATGGGGCAGAATGGCAGGAGGTAGCAGGAGGAAAGGCTGAGGTGGGTGTTTCCTGACAACAGCAAGCAGAGCCACGTGCCTTCTGTCTGCCGGCTCCTTGGCACAACACGGAGGCCTTCTCAGCCTGGGCTCTGCGTACCTCCCAGGTGTCATCGTCCCAGTCCCCTCTGTGATGCTGTGCACAGCTGTCCGAGGCTATCTGGTTCCCAGAGCACAGCTCTCAGACTTCCTGGCTACACGCATGGCTTCGCTGCTCCCACTGTTCTCCCTCCTGTCCCCTCCCTGTCCCTTCGCCTGCTCACCTCCTACCTGTCCCAAGATATCCCTTAAGACTTGACTTCTCTGGAAAGTCTCCCCTGAGGTTGCAGGCCAGCAGGTACCGTGCCACTTTGAAGCCACCTTGTCTGACTCCGCTAGACCCTGAGCTGAGGTCAGTGGGCGTGACAGAGACCAAACCCTTGCTTCATTTCAGTTGACTTTTAGCCCTTACTCATAAGTGCAATCCTTACAGTGATATTTATCCAGAAGAAAAACTAGGAAAAAAAAAAAGAAAGTGGATAATGAGGGTGGTTTGGTATAAAACCAGGAAAAGCACATTGTTTAAATTTTTTTTTTCCCTCAGAAGGCCTAAGTCCTTGTGGAGGTTTTCTCTCTGCCTGACCTGATGTGTGTGTGTGTAGTCTGTGTGTGTGAATGCGTGTGTGTGGAGTGGGGGGTCCTTGTCTATCCACCTGGGGCTTGGTTGGTAAAACGAGGGAATTGGGGTTTCATGGTTTTCTGATTTCTCGGAGCTCCCTCAAGCGCAGCCCTGGGAACCCCAATGAGTGGTTTGGGGCCTTTCCCCCCAAGGCTAGAGCAGCATGTTATACTTTGCTTACAAGTTTGGTTACTTAAAAAACTTCACCCTGGGGGCTGGGGTGGTGGCTCAGTGGTAGAGCGCTCACCTAGCATGTGTGAGGCCCTGGGTTCGATCCTCAGCACCACATAAAAATAAATAAAATAAAGATTAAAAAAAAAAAAAAAAACTTCACCTTAAGATTCAGACATGAAAAGTTCCCAAGTCATGGCTAGAGCCCTAAAAGGCTTTCCAGGTATAATTCCCAGAGTTCTAGAATTCTGTAAGAGGAAATAGCATCTGGGGCCCATAAGTCTCAGCCCCACTGAGTGCGGAGCCCCGGTGGGGAGTCATTGAAACGTACAGTGTGGCTTCACGTCGTCTGGGACTCTCACTGTCTCCCTTCCTTGCCTCCTGCCCAGGAACACACTCTCTGAGATACTTTCGCCTGGGCGTTTCGGATCCTGGCCACGGGGTTCCTGAATTTATCTCAGTTGGGTATGTGGACTCCCACCCTATCACCACATATGACAGTGTCACTCGGCAGAAGGAGCCGAGGGCCCCGTGGATGGCGGAGAACCTGGCGCCCGATCATTGGGAGAGGTACACTCAGCTGCTCAGGGGCTGGCAGCAGATGTTCAAGGTGGAGCTGAGGCGCCTACAGAGGCACTACAATCACTCAGGTGTGTCTGCGAGGGGATGAACGAGCTCCCTCGTGGTCCCTTTCTAGCAGAGTCCCTGGGCTGACGGTGGCCAATGTGAGCATTCGCTGACTTGCATTCTCCATGGCTTTTGGCAAATCTGCTTGATGGAGTTCAATGCCTACCATCTGTCCTATGCACCTTCCAAATTGTCCTTCTCTTCCCCAGCAACCTTTTGTCATCTGACCGCCGCCCCCCATCCCCATCTCATTGCCGTCTCGCCTTCTGATGTGTCTCTCCCTTCTAAATTTGCCCACTGGGTCTCATTTCCTGGTGGCCAGGCTCAGCCATGTGCTTGCTTATGCACGACTGACTACATTAACTTTCCAGGGGATATTTCTGGCTCCTGCACCTCTTTCTCCTCCACTGCACTCATAATAGCCACAAAGTTTATCAGTTAATCACTCCCGAGACAGGCTAACTTTCCAGGGCAAGAGTTATCACATTGCTTGGGCATGCAGTAGGTATTCCCCAAATATCTGTTGATGGGTGGGCTTATGTAACAGCAACCTCCTGAAGACCCAGCAGTGTCTTGCAGGCCTGTGGGGTCACATAAACTACAGCAGAGGATGCTTCCAGCCATGCCCCGGTCATGTCACCTGAGAGCCCCCTCTGCCCTGCGCCTGCCCTTTCATGCTTCTGTGTCCAGGGCTTCACACTTACCAGAGAATGATTGGCTGTGAATTGCTGGAGGATGGAAGCACCACGGGATTTCTCCAATATGCATATGACGGACAGGATTTCATCGTCTTCAATAAAGACACCCTGTCCTGGATGGCAGTAGATAATGTGGCTCACGTCACCAAACGGGCATGGGAAGCCAATCAGCATGAGTTACAATATCAAAAGAATTGGCTGGAAGAAGAATGCATTGCCTGGCTAAAGAGATTCCTAGAGTACGGCAAAGATACCCTGCTAAGAACAGGTAACAAGAGAGAATTCCCAGCAAAATCGGTTTTATATATAACTTCTTCCTGTGTAGGTGACATTCACCCTGTGCTGAGATCCGTCGCCAGAGCTGCACTGTTGAGATTTGGAACTCCCTCGGATAACTTTCCCTGGTTATTTTTTTAGCAGCAGCTTGACAAAATTTAGCAGTTCCATTTGTCATGACAGACTGGAGTACCTCCAAGGATACCTTGACTTGGGGGATCCAGTGAGGCAAATCTTTCCATCTCCTGTCACGGATAAGTCGGAAGATACTTTCAGAGGTGGGATGATTTTTACAAATTGTTCAAGAGCTAAGGGCTCCGACAATCCCATTTTGAGTAAAAATATCTGGGTTTATGAAGAAGACAAACTGAAGGTCTTTGCTTCGCTGGCAGATGAACGCTGTAATTCCATCGGTTGGCTTCTAGTTAATACAGAATTTTTCATGTATGAGCTTATTCAAGGTAAATCGCATCAGAACGGTGCTGCAGGAAACTCCTAGATGCGATGCACTCACTCCCACAGGAGTCATCTCCAGTGGAGGGACTTTCCTGGAGTCCCAAGGAGGAGTGTCTAGGCCACAGTTAGGAATCAGTGCTTCTGTCTAAAAGCACAGGTCTTGAAGTAAATGAGGGGAGTTTGACTTTGACTCTCCCCTTTGTAAGCTGAGTGACAAACTTATTCAAAGTGGCTCAAAGAGGGAAGCTATCCGAAGGCAGGAATCAGGGCCGTGTGGGGACCTGAGGAGTCAGAAATGATGAATGGCCTTCTCCACGGAGGTGGGGCAGCCAGTGCACAGCTCATATCCCCATGGCTTCACCATTTCAGAAGAACGGGCCACTCTCTCTCAGCATTAGCTACTTAAATAAATAGACAAATCAAAGGAGCACTTAGAGGCCCCTGGTGCACTGGGCAGGGGCCGGGTCAGAACCAGCAAAGAGAAACTGACCAGCCCTGTAGTTTAGACGATGCTGGGGAGGGAATTTAGTTTGGTACTTGCTGGAGGAGGGTGCAATCAACTTCCAAAATACATTGTTGTTTAGCGGTTCGTAATGTCAGAAAAGGGATGAGGCTAATTGATGCCAGACCAACAAAGCAATAATTTTGAGTAAAATAAAGAGCATAATTCTGCCTACCTCACAGAAACTGGTATGGAATAATGTATATGAAACACTTTGTAAGCTGTGGAGCTCTGTTCACATACTCAATGTTGTTACTGTTGCCTGACTGAAGACTGTCTGACAGCTTAGGATGTGGTTGACATCTGTGGCCACCTTGGGGTTATACAGGATGCTTCATCACTAAGATATTTTCTGCTGAGCCTAGGCAGTAGGAAGAGGGGCAATGTGGGACACTTCCTGACCTTGATCTGTGACCTTCTTAGCCTTTGACTACAAACACAGAGAACCTTCACTTGCCAGGCCTGCTACACTGTGGAAAAGGTGGGGAAGCCTGAATGCAGTTGCTATGAATTGGGATGGTTCATCCTAACCCTGTTGATTCTGTCTGATATGAAGAGCTCCTTGGAGAAACAAGGGGGGCCCTGGGTGGTGTTGAAAGTTCAACCTCAAGGAACTGCTTCCCACTCCAAGCCTCCTCTCGGTCTACTATCAATGTCCTAATGGGGTCTCAACCCATATGGTCAGTGCCTAGGAAAAGATTTCAGATTAATTTCTTACAGGCACTGTCAATAAGAATTCCCTCCTGATGGCATTTATATTTTATTTCTAATGTTTGAAAGCCTTTTTCTACATCTAAATGTTATGCCTCAGGAAAGACAAGGAAGGCATTGTTGAGGTGAAGGCTCTTCCCTGTATCAGTAATGGCAGATAATAAGTTGTGAATGAGGAGGTGAATTTTGAAGTTGAGCAGCAAATAGGTCTTCCAGTTGGTATGGGTGGTCTCTATATGGATCTATGACCCCATTTCAGCCAGAAATGTTAAGGACAGAACCATCTGGAAAATTAAAAGAAGTTACAAGAAAGCAAAGTCACAAATGGACAATTCCTTGTTGTCACTGCCAAAGCCCTTCTAAGATATGAATTTCTGTAGCCCTTTTGGGAACACAACTATGACATAATCTAATACATATGTTTATATCTGATAATAAGTCATCAAGGTGTCAACCTGAGCACACAGGCATTTTGGAGCCAGAGTTGAGCTGAGATGCTGTGTCATTCATTGCCATCAAATTCGAAATTGAGATCAAGGAATACTGAGTTCTAATCTCCAATCTCTCGCAGAATTATTTATCAGAAATAATCACTTACCCATATTATGGCTCAGTTTTTCTTGATACATAAAGGTATTCCACAGGTTAACTGTAAATAATCCCAATAATTTTCCAAACACTCAAAGCTGTGTGGACAGACTATGGCTTAACTCCACCTTTTTAATTTCCTAGCACACCACCCTAGTAGTATACAATAATTTAACTTTGTTATTGATGAACCTGGGTTCTGGGTCATTCCTGGTTTTAGATGTTTCCTGCAATGAAGAAAATTATTTGGAAAACCTAGTTGCCAAGTTTTAATGTTGTTTGCTCAGTATCCAAGACATTTCTATTAAACTGTAGTTTTTCCTCCTAGAGCCCCCACTGGTCAGAATAAGTCGCAAAGAATTTTTTCCGGGGATTACAACTCTCTTCTGCAGAGCTCATGGATTTTACCCTCCAGAAATTTCCATGATATGGAAGAAAAATGGGGAAGAACTTGTCCAAGAAGTGGATTATGGAGACATCCTTCCCAGCGGGGATGGAACCTATCAGACGTGGGTGTCAGTTGAACTGGATCCACAGAGCAGGGACATTTACTCCTGCCACGTGGAGCATTGTGGCCTCCACGTGGTTCTTCAGGGCCATCAGGGTAAGGATTAGGTAGTGGCTATCTGGAGAGTGAGAATGAGGAAAGAAGATGAGCAGGAAGCCATGCCAGCTGTCAAGGAGGGGAGGGTGGATCACTACCCAACTCAGTGTGCTTTAGAATGAATGGGTCTTTCAAGTCAGTGGTTCTCACACTGTTTGGTCCCAAAGCTCTTTTTTACTCTTACAAATCATTGCAGACCCCAGAGTTTTATTTATGTGGACCATACCTATTGCTGTTTACTATATTACAAATTAAAACTTTTAAAAAAATTAAACACCAGAAAATACACACACATAGTCTATTAGCCATCATATGATGAGAAATGACAGTAAGAAAAGTAGTGTTGGGCTGGGCATAGTGGTGCATGCCTGTAGTCCCAGCAACTTGAGAGGCTGAGCAGGAGGGTTACAGGTTCAAAGCCAGCCTCGGCAACTTAGCGGGAATGAAAAATAGAAAGGGCTGGGGATGTAGCTCCGTGGTAGAGTGCTCCTGTACTGTACTGTACTGTACAATCCCCAGTATCGTAAAAAAAGAAGAAGAAGAAGAAAAACAGTGTTGGATTTCCTGATGAGTACAGGGACAAAAGTCCCTGAAGTTATCAGGAGGGAAAGGACACTTGTGGATTTTCTTCATCTGCTTGCTTCCAGAATCGGAATCCATCCTTCTGGTGATGAAAGCTGTCTTTGGGGCCATTGTCCTCACCATTGTCCTGGCTGGAGTTGGCTTCCTGGCCTGGAGAAGAAGGCCCCGAGGTAAGAGGTGTAGGGAAGAATTCTAGGGAGCTGGAGATAGTCTCTTGCCTTTAGCTCCTGAGGATTTTGTTTTCTGTATCTGCCACTCTGAGCTCCGCGTAGAAATGGGTCCGCCCTAGTTCTGGGATTGTAGAGGACCTGGGGTAACTCTCCACTACAAAGGGAATGCTCACTATAAATAACGCTTGCAAGGGGAGTGGTCTGTTTTCCTAAGTCAATGATCTGGTGATCTTGATCTGTCTTTTGCCAAGTCATATCCTTATTAATAATTACCATGGACTTCTGTGGGAACATTGCACTTTGTTTCAAAACTACAGTCATTTGTAGTTTTGACTTTGACAATGATTTCTCTTTCCCAATCATATGAAAATCCTTTTCCTTCTAAATTCGTTTTTCAAAACATGAAATGTGTAAGAGTGGATACCTTTGAAAAATGGGATGTGGGATAAGGAAAAGGGGAAGGAGGAAAAGGCGATATGTAGGACCTTGACATTGTGGAAAAAATACACTCATTCCTTGAGTATGCATGAAATTCCTGCTGTGTTCAAGGAACTGTACTGGCAGCTGGGAGAGACGATGAAAAAAGATAGACCTGATCCCTGCTGTCATCCAGCCTCTAACGAAACTCACATGAAGGGCACCTTGATACATCACAAAATGGCCTTTCTTGTTCATCTTCTTCTATGAGAGTGATTATCATGTCTCGTAAGGTCATTTGCTGCCTCTGGTTTTACTAGTTGCTCCAGTGGATCACAGCCAATCTTGATCAAACCTCAATCATGACTTAGAACCCAGGTGGGTCAAGAGCTTGGCTTGGCTTTATAGCCACAAACTTTAACCCAATTTAGGAGTTGCTGTACAAAAGTATGTTAGTAGATCCTAGTACAACCAAACCCCTTTACTAGAAAATCAACTCAGAATTAGTGGGTCATTACTATTTCCTTTATAAATAAAGTTCAGCACTAATCTCAATAAATGAAAGTTGCTGAAGAAAAAACATTTTTTTGTTAACAATTACATACCTCTATCAGGAATGATGCAGACTGAGTCCCTGTCTTTTATCTTGTGGACTTTATGAATTTGAGTTGAAATTTATGAAGTACTAAGAGAATCTTAACTAAGCAGGCTATACAATCTGAATATGCCTGCTTCTCAGGTTTTGCTGAACATTGTATACTTTATTTTTGAGTGTGAGGAAATATATGTGTATCTGAACAAAAACATCTTTTCCTTTCAGAGCAAAATGGAGTCGTTTACCCTTCCACACGCATCCATGAATGCAGTTCTCCCTCCTAGGAACCACACAGTCTCTTCTGTTTCTCCTGCTCTCAAGTCCAGTGATTGAGGATCATGACCGCAGCTACAACATGTCTTGGCATTAAAGGATTGAGTAATTATGGCAGAAAGATGGGAACCACTACATTTTCTTTTCTCTTTGGCTCCACAAGGGCTGTCAGCATTCAGTCTCTTTTGATGGACTCCTTTATCACATGTGGCTTTAAGTACAGCTTCTCTCATGACATGGCACTTTTCTACACCCATTTCTCAGTGATGATTCTCCAACATTGGAGAATCTCAGAGCTGGAAGGAACCTTTTCATCCAGGACAGGAAATGATCTTTTACGATGCCTTAGACTCCAGCATCCGGTCTCCACTTAAACACCACGTGATGGGCACCTCAATACATTACAAAATGCCCATTCTTGTCCCTCTTCTTTTGTGAGAATTTTCACTGTGCGAGAACATTGAATATCATGGGCATCTTGATTGTGACCTTACCATAGGTAATACAACCTCATGAGTGGCCAGAAGTTTTTACAAGAGCCTGTGAATGGCCTGATCATTTTACACATAGCCTAGCCTGAGAGAAAGCAAAAGTCCCCTGTTCTTCATGGCTTCTCTGCCTGGTAGTTTGGAATCTTAAAAATATGGCCTGGTTGGATCTGTGGAGGTGGCTTCACCTTTCCTGTCTTTTGGAAATTAAAACCAATACTTATCAAACATATTGTCACCTCCAGTGGAACTACGGAGATCTAGACCTAACTGTAATGTTTAAATGTAAAATGATAGTGTGTGTATGCCTCAGAAGAAGGTTCAATTCTTTCTTTTAGCCTTCCTTTTTTTTTTTTTTTTTCATGCTGAGGATCAAACTCAGGACCTTGCACATGCTAGGTGAGCACTCTACTATTGAGCCTACACCCTTATCTCCAGAAGGTCCAATTCTTATTTCCGTCTCTTCTATACTGATTTATTATAACTGGGTTTGACTCACCTTCATACATATGTGCTGAGAATAAAGGGAAGTCCCCTTGTGAGAATTAATCATTGATTCTCCTTACTCTTCCCAACCCCCAAAGTCCTCACCTTATTTACCTCCTGTCCTGCTGTGTGAGGCCACTCGCTCAGGAGTTGCCAGTCACATACTTGTCTGTCTTAATTCTCTGACCCTGTTCGACTGCATGTGTCAGACCTGATACTTATTATCATGGCCCCAGCTTTGACAAGTGGCTTTGAACATGCACCTTAGGCTTCATCTCTGCTCTCCATTGGCCCAGGCTGTAACTTCAAGCGTCAGAGCCAGAGATAAAAACACTCAGTGTGGCAGCCTCCACTGTCCCCACCTAATTCCGTGGATTAACCTCCCACCGTACAGGGCTCTTTCCCAGGGCCTGTTGAGTTGTATATGAGGACAGTTGTGTTTGTTTTGTTTTTAGTGTTGCCATGGGCAATTTCCATACCATCTTTTAGCCTTACACTTGCACTGAAAAGAGAATATGTATGAGTTTATTTCTGGAAGAATGGTTTCTTACAATCTGATTAGTTAGGATGTAGTATATTTTTGGTTGGGCACTTAAAGTGATACAGGTGACATAACTGTGTAGCTGTCTGACTCTCCAGCTTCATGGTGCTCTCAACAAAGACAGAGTATCTGAAAGCCTCTTTGTCCACCCCAGGCTGTGCCCTAGGTCTAAAACAATAATAGACCCAAATGGATGAAGGGGTGGGGGGCAAAAAGAATGCCTGCAGTTGCAGCATTTCTGTGTCTCCCCAGGGGATTTTATAATACAAAAAGTTGTAAAGAGGTGACTTTTTTTTTTTTTTCAGTATTTGAGAGCCAATCCAGGGCCTCACACATGCCAGGCAAGTGGCCTATCATTCAGCACATCCCCAGACCTATAAACAGGTAATTTTGTTAAATGTCTAAAATTTAGGGCTGGGATATAACTCAGCAGCAAAGTACTTGCCTATCTAGGCCCCAGATTTGATCCTCAGCACTGCAGAAAAACAAAAACAAACCCAAAAAACTAAAATTTTAAAACTCTTACTATCAATGGTTCAAATTATACTACTTCTTAATAACTTTAGACTTGTCACTTCATTAGTTCATATTTGCTGATTGTACATGCTCAGTAATCAGAATGTATAAAATATTTGGTATCATAATCTAAATATGAGAAAACAAAGAGCTGTGTTATCATCTCACTCTGTTTTGTCTTTAAATTGTCTTTACTGAATATTTTTGATCAAGAACATTAGATGAAGAACTTGTTTACGTCTGTTCTTTCTTTTTTAAAAACTACCATATATTCACTGTTTTCTTTTTAAGCACACAAGACCACAAGACCAAAACACCGTGTACTGAGTGGCCCATGTTACCAGGCAGGGAGGGAAAGTGGTTGGAAGAGCAGCTTGAAGCCAGAACAGGTTCTCCTGGCCACACTCCCCCGGCCTCTGCTTCCTCTTGTTCCCACAACTTCCACGTTCCGACTCTCTCCTTACTTCTGAGGAACTTCTTGGTTTTTCCTCTTCTATTTTTGGTCAGGCGAGAGTGTTTGCACTTGTGGTCGTGAGAAACAGCCATCCACTGGGGAGGCCAGCTGGCCATTTTCTGGCAGAGTCTGACAGAGTGGTCACACCTTATTTTGATCTCCACTGTCTGGGGTCTTTGTCCTCCTGTGTTCAGGTCAAGCGTCCCCTTAAGTGATCAGATGGATACAGAAAGTGGAGTGCCAATGTATTAAGGTGCTGTCAGAAAAAGAACTGCCCAGTGGGCCAAGTGGGATTTGTGCCAGCGGGACAGTCTACCTAAGAAACACCGACTCACAGCTGGAAGAGTGCTTGGTGACCCCGGAATTGGGGCAGGGGGATACATTTTTGCTTTGTAGTTCCTCTTTTCTGGGGTTTGCTATTTTTTCACACACAGTTTATTGGTTCACAGAATGTAGTCCAGGGAGGAGAAGGGATTTTTCCCAAAGTTCATGCAGTGGTCAGCAAAGCTGGAGGGGGCACAGGTCGCCCATCTCTAGCCAGGTATTTTCCAGTTGACTACATTGCCATTCTTAGAGGATGATTCTCCACTGCCCTTTCTGAAATGCCTTCACCTCCTTTCTTTCTTAGGACATTCAATCATTTGCCTTTTATCTCTCTGCATCTCCCTTTCACTCTGGGCTCCCTTTCTCTAACACCCTTCTATTTAGCCTCTGCTTGTCCCAAGGACTTCTGACCATGTAACAAATCCCCAAACACAGTGATTTCAATAATCATTTTATTATCTTTCACAGTTTCTGCAGGTCAGGAATCTGAGTAGGGCTTGGGTAGACAATGCTGGCTTGTGGCCTGTCAGTGGATTTGCAGGCAAAGAGGTGGCCGGAAGGAAAGTAGTACAGGACTAGAGCAGCTGAGGTCCTGGCCAGGCGTCTCTCTCCATATTCAGTCTCTCTCTGTAGGTTCCTTTGGGCTTCCTTACATCATGGTGGCCTCAGGACAGTCAGACTGCTTATAAGGCATCCAGCTTCCTCAGAGCCAGTTTCCTGAGAAATCAAAGCAGAAATGCATAGCACTCACATAGTGTCACTCCTGCCGTCTCAAGGAAATCACATTCGGCTCAGCTTCAAGAGGACTGTTGACGTTTCAATGGGGAAGATTGCTGAAGTTACACTGTGAGAGGAGTTGTAGATGGGAGCCCCTCTTTGCCCTCTTAGCTCTTCCTCTGGAGCCCAGGACTTCTGATGCCATCTTTGATTCTCAATAAGAAGGTCAAGTTCCACCAAAGGGCAGATGCTGATGTCTTTCAGCTCAGACCCTGGGATCCTGAGGTGCCCTAGACGGAAGACTGGTGGAAAGACTGAGGGCGAAGCCTAAACTGTGGCTCCAGGGGCGTCACTGAGGCCTCTTTCTTCAATAAGGTCCCTCTTGCTTCCCCACAGCTGGTGTGGCTGAATAAAAAGAATACTAAATACAGCCACTTACCTGAGGGGCTTACCATATAGAAAGATGAAGCCATAGGTACCACTAAATGGATCTTCTTTGTGAATCTTGTTTGATTACAATATTAAATTCTGACCATTTATTTTGTTTCTAGCTTGTGAACCAACCGAGGGCATGAGCAGGGGCACAGCTAATCCATGAAGGACATTTGCGGGTGAACATGGTCCCAGGCCAGGTCACATGGCTTGGCCAGTAGCACAGAGAGTGAATATTGACCATGGTTGCCCCCTCAGTGGGTTGTGGAGGGCATAACCCAACATGGTAGCTCTAACCAAACCATTAGAAAATAGATAGAAATTGGCTGTATGCTGTACGCTAAAATGAATGAATTATTTTGGAAGAGAGGGGAAATAGAGGAAAAACAAACAAACAGGTCAATTCATCCAAAATGGCAGAATTAGAGCCCCGTGTAGTCTATAAAAAGAGTTAAAATTATCTAAAAGGCCTTACATAATCCTATCACAGTGTTTATTTATGGCAATCTATTTTAAAAATGTTTATGTAATATTACACAGTCTGCGTGATGCCTTGTATGTCGTAGAAACTCACTAAATACTTCTTGAATGAACCAGTACAGTATTTTAATTAGTAAGTCTTCATGTACCAGTGCAGAAGAACAGTGTCATCTTACCGGTGAAGTCATGGAAGGGAAATAGCCCACCAGGATCATGTGTCATTCCGGGTGCCCAGGATGAACCATTCACAGACTAAGCTGAATTCTTCAAAGTTTTCAGCAATATTAACATTTTTTTGAGATGTTGATGGACCTTTATGTTATTCATTTATTTATATGTGGTGCTGAGAATCGAACCCAGGGCCTCACACATGCTAGGCAAGTGCTCTACCACTGAGCCACATCCCCAGCCCAGCATTAACATTTTTGTTTAATAAACTTTTTATGTCTTTGTAGTGTCTGTGTGTGATTAAGCACCCCAAACATTCTAGGGACCTCCCACCCCATCCCCCACATATTAAGGACAAGTATATAATTCACAGATTCTTGTATGAGGCACCACTATTCTTGAGAGCTGTAAGAAGAGGTGCTGAGATATGAATTCTCAGCCATCTTGGGGGTCCAAATATCTGGTACTTATGTTTGTTATTCCCAAGGCCAACAGAGCTATATAGTACAGTCTGGGTTTTCTTTTCTGTCATTGGAGTCTTTGGTTAATGAAAGTTCTTTGAATACAAATTTTACTAATTCTTATCAATCTACTTGAGCTAGGAGGTCTATGAAGTGGCTTCTTCCAGGAAGAATTGGTTCTGTATGATTTTTCTTTCTTTTTTTTTCACTCCTTTACCTGAACCTAACAAGGGCTTCTGCCTTTGTCTCCTGTCTGGGGTTGGGTGAGGGGATGTTTGGAGGCAGAAGGTTGAGTCCCTTGGTGCTGAGCTGAGTGGCAGCTGGAAGGCCTGGAGTCCCTGGCAAGGGGAGGCCAACCTGGGCCTGAGGCAAGAAGCAGAGCAGGACCAGGGAGGGGAACTGAGGAGCAGGAACTCCTGAGGGAACAGCCTCACCTCCAAAACTCAGTCAAGGGGAGGGGCTCCAAGGACGTCCTGGGAGGCCACCACAGGGAGAAGGAAGGAAGAGCAAGGGAGAAATGAGACAGGCACCCCAAGGTTGAAGCTGACTCTGCTGGGTTGTTTTTCTTCCTGGGGTGCCAGAGCAGATCCTAAGAATACCTGAGCTCAGTGAAAGTTCTATATTTTTCCTTGGGGAAATGGAGAATTCCGGGAACACTGTGAGAAGACACATGCTCTAAAAGGTGACAATCTGAGGGACGTGTGAAAGCCTGGAATAATAAAAAGGGCAACATTTGGAGTCCTGTGAGCTGCTGAAATAGAAACCTCTCGTGGACTAAAGCGAAAAATACCCAGAAGCATGTACTCTGCATGTTTTGCACAGAACAGCCACAAATACACAATCTGCGCATGACACAGGGCAGGAAGTTCCAAACCAGCCCTAACCCCCAGGGGCTGCACGCCTGGCTGCCTTCCACCCTACTTTCAAAAAACGGAATCAGTCATTGATCCCTGAGCATCTGTGAAGAGCAAAGGCGAGCTGCTTTAATTCAACTCTGGCCTTCGCCACTGAAATCCAGATCACATTTCAAAGATCTGTAAACTAGCCCTGCTTCATAGACTTGAAATCGGTCTACAAGATGACCTGTTTATAGAGCCAATGATGACGTCTTCAGACTGCCTCCTGCCACAAGGAATTAGCAGTTTCTCTGTGTGGCATGACATACGCTCGATTTTCATTAAAGCGGCAAAGCGTGTTTACTCTGATTTTTTATTAATGATAGGCGATGGCTATTGATATTCAAATTAAGTTCTATGGCCTTTATGAGTTAATCAGCCATTTGTCAAACGCATGTTCCACGAGGTCTGAGACTGCAGAGTTTCGTGCATGGAGGATATTCAACACGTGTGCATATCAACTGAATGAACCCCGTGACACCTACCAGGAGCAGGCTGTAGAGGCACAGAGCCCAGAGGCGTTCTGAAAGTGAACAAGGGCAAAAATGGCCCAGGCAGAGGCTCACATCTGAGAAAATCAATTTAGAGAAGGCAATCTAGAATATATTTCAATAAAATAAACCCTGAGTTTTGTGTTAGCAGAAGAAATAACAGTTCTGGCAGTGAGCTTTAGTGGTCATGCTAAAAACAACAACAACAACAACAAAAAAAAAAAACAGAGATTGATAGAGCTTTAGAGTGAATGAGAGAGCCTGCAGGCAAATATGCCACCAATCAAAGAGGGGGTGTGTGAAGAGCTGAACGCTATGCCCCTCCCTGCAGCAGCTGGGCTGGGCTTCCAGGACCAACAGGCAGCTGCGGTGGTGACAGCAAGGTACTCAAAGTTGTTCTGCAAAACAGTGAGCTCTAATCCTCTGTTTCCTTGTGTGCCTCCCCACCCGCAACTGCCTGATTTTCAAGAATAACTCCTTCGCTGAACTCCTAAATGCTTTTTGGCTCTGTGCCTAACTGACTTTGGCTACTCTGTGTGGGTATTCATCTGTTTCTGCACAGCTTATCTCTGGCTAGGCTGGGAACGTCTTAAGGGCGCAGCTTGAATTCCATCTCCTTCACTTAGTATCAGGGTGATCTTAAGTTATTCCACTTCTCTGAACCTCAGTTTTAACAAGACAGGACGAGTAAATGCCTGTCTCCCAAAGTTCATGGGGAACTCAGAGTGTTTGTGTGGGAAACACAAACTGGCACTTTGCACAGCCGCCAGAGTGCTCACACTTCACATACATCATCACTATTGCTC